GGGGGTGGCAGAGATGGATTGTAATTGTGTAAATATAATTATAAATGTTGTGTCTGTATATTTTTGTCTAGTAGCCGGTGAAAGCATAATGGTATTGTTTTTAGTTGATAATAAGTGAACTACGTGTATCTCTTCTTATCTTCTATATCGAATCGGCATTGATGTGATATTGTATATTTTGCATTGTTGATAAATTATATCTGTGTATAAGATCAGAAAAGATAAGATAAGATGATACTTTATCATCCCAGAGGGAAATTTTTCTTGACTGTACAGGACCGTAAAAACACATGCAGGTAGATCTATGCATTAAAAAATTAAATTATATATTACTCTCATTAAAATTCAATATGAAAAGAGAAGTAAAGCTGATAAAATGTACTTTCACCTCAGATGCATCATTCAACCACATGGAGAATTTTAATTTCAATACCTTTGGAGTTATATATACGAGCGTACATACTCTAAAGAGCAAAAAGTATAAGTGGCGTCGGGAGCCAAGTGGTTAGGCTACCGGGCTCGTAATCGTGAGATTGCGGGTTCCGGGGTTCGAGCCTCAGCTCGGTCTGATGCTGTGTCCTTTGGAAAGACACTTTACACGAATTTCCCACTTGATTCGGTCCTTTCGGAGATGGACGTTAAACTCGGAGATCCCGTCTTTTAAATAACCTAATGGTGTTAATAGTGGCGTTTAACCTTTACCATTAAAATGTTAATATATTGTAAAGCGCATAGAGCTTGCTTTCAAGTGGGGATGCGCTATTCAAATGCTTTTTTTAAATCCATGTATTGATGTATGTATATGAATGTTTGCATTCATGAAAGTATACTTATTATTTATGTATTTATGTATGTATTTTCGTATTTATGTATTTATCTGTGTGCATGTATGTATTTCGTTGTTAAACAAATTTTCACGGAAGATTATCAGAAGCTTTTGGTCTTGACCATCACGTCGTTTTTTTCTGGGTTTTCTATTGTTAGTTGGGGGATTGCTGTTTTGTTTTGTTTTGGGTTTTTGTGTTGTTGTTTGTCTTTTGGGTTTGTTTGTTTTTTAGGGGTGGTGATATTTTTGGGTTTGTTGTTTTTTTTTGGTTGGGTTTTTTTTGGGGGGTGGTGGTTTAATTTTAGATTTTTGAGTGAAATGCGATAGATATTGCCCTAAAAAATAAACCTCCACCCCACCATCTCCCCGCC